TTTTCAGCACTCAAACAAATCCTCAGGCAATACTCAGCCGTCTTCCCAGGCGAAAACAGAACCATCCCTGTAACCTGTTTGTTTTCTCCTAGTTTGGTTTGGGCTAATATTTGCATTTTGAAACACCTTCTGTTATGCAACTTTATGCACGAGAACTTCCTTTTCAAACTCTCTTTTCTTTCCTGAACAGGACAAAGCCCCAGCTGAAACAAAATGCACTGATCAGCTGTTCTTTATAACTGGTGGGAACTAGTCTTCTTCCCTTTGTGTCACGCCCAGAATGGCAGTTTAGGGGTTAAATAATCAGCCTCAGTACATTATCCTGTGTCCTGCTGCGCCGGTGGACGCAACCATAATGTCTGGCTAATTAGCCTCCATTTAGGACAGCCCAATAGGCCACACAGCCGCCCATTGATTGAGGATTGAAGCCCATGGAGCTTTGCAAAGGAAGACCCTGTGTCTCATAGTCATTCAGGGTTCAGGCTCGTCCTTAATAAACCTCCAGCCTGCCCAGGCTCCACGCCTCCAGGACTCAGGATTCAGTTTCTCTGTCGATGAATGGGTGTATAGCCTGTGTAGGAAGATTTAGGCCTTTGTTTGTGTTTTGTCACTAAAAGGATAATGTCCATAAATAGGGTCTAAACTGACCAGGACCAATTGACGGCTTAAGGGTTGAAGCAGCTCATTGTAAAGCGCGGTCCTTATGGAATTATTGTATGTTGGGTTGTGAGAGATCTTTGAGAACATTGGGCTCAGACAAGAGTGAACAGGAAATCTTATTTTGGAGTTTAAATCAGTTCTAATAACGTCTTTTGTTGCTTGAGTTTTCCTTTAGATTGCTTCACAACAGCAAAGACTTCTGTCATTATAGGACCACTCAGTAAGATGTGTAGTGAGTGAAATGATAAAGGTATCTTACTATATGATCAGACATTAAGGAAACATGCTATGTTGAAGTGCTGGCTTCTCTGACAACAATGCAGCAGCCAGTATGTCCTCCTTCTAACTTTAGATTCTGCTCCTGAATGCTCTGGATTTGTTTGGACCAACGGTAGGTAGGTAGGCGCTTTTAAGGCACCCCCACACGGCCGTTTTGGACGCCCCTCAGTTTTTCAGATATGAGAGCAGTTATCAGGTCAACAGGTGTTGCAGTGATGGAAGCGGTCAAGAGAAGTGGTTCAGATAGAAGTGATTGTACCCGACCTAAAAAGCCTCTGCATGTTTCTAATAAGCTCCACGAGCAGAAACGTGCTCAGACTAGGATCAATATTGGAGATATGAGGTTTTAAGTTATACTCCAATGGAAGGCTGACTTCCTGTCAGGTATTTCTTCTTTATTCAGATTATTGTAATCAGCTGTTTATTACTCTGTACTCCTCTGTACGCCCCTGTGCGTTGATTGTATAGACGTATTATTGAGTCTCAGTCTGGGGTGTGACAGTGCCAGATCTCACCACCGGCTCTTTTCCTGCCTCGTGGGGAGCTGGGCAGCCGAATAAAAGCAGGAGACGCTTTTGTCGTCAAAAAGCACTCTGTCCCCGGCACGAGAAGGAGCCAAGCACGACATGTGATGAAGATGGATGAAAACGGTTGCTGCGGTGACGGACAGTACTCTCCAGGTCCTGCGGGGCGGCTCTTGGCAGGCTCAGCGAGGCAAGTTGGCAGAGAGGAGTTCATGTTGAGAGGAACAGTCTGTGATCTGTTGCTCGTCTTATGTAATCATGTCAGCGTGTCTGTCTGTCAGGGTTTCTCTGCTCCCTGTTTGCAGAGCAGGTTAGTTTTCTCACTCACCTGGAATTACCTTTTGACCTTCTTCAGGTGGTATTTCTCAGCGTTCTTACACCTTACATAATCACTTCAGATCTTTAACTGGATGGGAAGCGGGTCATTGTTGATTTGCAGAGTGATGATTGGCTGCAGCTTTTAAAAGCACTAGGGTTAGGGTAGGGTAGGGTTAGACATTTTGGACAGGGCGCGCTGGAGTCCCATCGATGGCGGTCTCCATGTTGGAAATCCTGTCTCAGTCTAACTTTCAGTCAACCTAACGACAGGCAGAGAGCTGGAGCTGAGGCGACAAACCCTTACACTGTAGCTAATCACACCTATTTGTTTTTTGAACCAGGCTGTAAACATGTTAATCTCTGCTGTAAAAACAGGCTTTTTAGAATGGTGTGTATGTGACTTCCTGCGCTTCTGCAACCAGCCTCTAGTGGACACTTAGGAACTGCAGGATTTTACACTTCAGAATTGGCTTCATTTGTCAACGCTGGAGGTTGCTGCTTGAGCTGAACCCGAGGACTGTAGCCTCTATGTGTGGGATTCAGCTCTACACAAGCTTAACCAGCGCCCCATGCATGAATTTTTTTCACTTTTTGTTGTTTGTTTGTTTGTTGACATTTGAACAAGTTCAGCTCTAGCAGTTTAGCAGAAGAGGTGATGGTGATCTTGCTGCAGGAAATCGATGTTTGCAAAATCTTGTTTAAAAATCTCTCCAATGAAAACCCTGACAGGTGGAACAGAGCTTAGATCAGGTGCATAACTTCCGGTCCTTCAGATCTGAACTCTAAGAAACATTTAAGGATGAAATGACATCACCGACTGAGCTATGTCAGCGCCATGCACCCATTTATTTTGATAGAAAAACAGGAAAAGTCTAGATAATATTTCTATTTTTAAGTGTTGCCTGATCACGACATACTGTGCTGTGATTGGTTAATACTTCTTTGCTTTGATTGGTTCGTACTTGTTGTGGCCTCAAAGTCTGTCTTCTGGGTTTTCTACCAGGTAGTTCTTTCATCAAGGACCAGATCTGAAGTCCAAATGAACCTTTTTTTGTTCACTGAAACCATCATCTTTTTTCAAACCTGTGTTTATTTTTAGGGTAAGTCACCAAACCACTTGGTAAGGTTCAGGAAAACAAACATGTTGTGTGTTGAAATATCAGGACATGAGCAGTGGCCTCTGGAGTAAAAGTTCTGTGTCCTGCTCAGATCGATTGTAGTCACAGCACTTTAGGGCAGGACTGGCTGTAACTGGGGGGGGGGGGGGAATCAGCATTTCTGACACTGAGAAATGGAGTTAGAGTCAAAGTGAACTTGTCACCTGCTGCTCAGTTGGCTGGATTTCCGGGTCAGGGCCTCAGCGAGCATTGTGGCGGTGGACACACAGACCGTGAGCTGTTCGCCGCGCTGGCGGCTCTGTTTGTCCCGCTCCAAAAAAGAGGGCTAATGAATAAAAGACAAAGTGGGAGACCGCTAAAGTCATTCTGATCCCCTCTTCCATGAGCGGGTAATCCGGGGGTGATCGTCAGCACAAACTGGGGCTTTCACAACCTCTGTGTTTGTGTGTGTTTGCACGTGTGTGTTTTTAAATATATAAAGTTGCAATGAAATCCCCCCCGCCCCCTGAAGTACTTGTTGTTGTGAATTTAGGTTTTCAAACTGTTGGAGACTCTGATACTTGTTCATGCCACATTATTTAAAGTGATCAGTCGTGTTGTTTGAATTATTTAATAGCATCAAAAAGTTCCAAAGTTTGAAAACAAACAGCAGGTGACAGCAGACTGAGGAAGGAGATAAGCCTGCACACTTTTTATTCCATCATAAGTTGCACGGATACATTATCAATGTTTTGTGCAGTTTGAACGCTGTGCAGGAGTTTGTCTGCAATTTCTGATATTTCAAAACAAGAAGTGATCCTTTTGTCTAATTTTGTTGCAGTGGGTTTAAAACAGGTAAAGTATTATTTCACTTCTGGTGTCGTGAGGATGATTACAACATCTAAAGCATGCAATGAAACAACCTGCCAAGCAGCTTACTTACATATTTCATGTGATTACAGCAATGAAACCCAACTATAGATGCTGGGTTGGGGTTATTTGGATGTTAGTAAGAGTTTTTAGATCACGCTCATACTGTGTCTGTTTACATACAATGTGAAGCTACGAGCGAACTAAAGAGCGCTAACATTAGCATGCTAACACAACAATGAGGGACACAGGCAGCTCGAGCAGAGGACGATTTCATCTGCTTCTTGCACTTGAGTCCTTCGTGTGAATGTGAGTGGAGGGGGGTTGGAGGTGTGTCTCTGGAGGAGAGCGGAGACTTCAGTATGGAGGAGGCGTGGCCAAACAGCAGTTTGTTTTGGTTTAATGCTGGTGCTCAAGTCACCTGAATCGTAGTTCATGTCCTCATTTACATTTTCTTACTAATGACCTCATTCCTGAAGCATGCAGAGAGCGACCATTAAGTGTCTTTGTAAACAGTGATGAGTCACTGTGAGTGAATTGAGTCCTCAGAGGCTCATACCTGAGATGTTTCCTCTGGTTTGATGACGAACTGAGTGTGAACTAAGTGCATGAGTAAACCACATACCTTTGTGCTGTAGTCAGGTGAAGAACCTTTCTGGCTGTAGTGTGTGCAGCGTGCACGCTGGACTGCAGTGGTCGGTGTTAAAACAAACAAAGCTGGACTGTCACAGTAATCCTGTTTGCAGTGAGGTTGCACCATTCATTAAAGCGGGAGTTTTTATAAAGCTGTATCCAATCTGCTCAGATTCAGCTCACATGATGAATTGTTAAGACTCAGCACCATGCAGAATTAAGAACAGCCATGTTTTGAAATGTTCCTTTTCCCTTCTCTACAGATATCGTCTTGTTAAGCATCATTGCACGTGTTTCTAGCAGAAAGTTTCTGATGTTTTATTAACTGTTTGTCAAAGGTTATGAGGCTCACTGTTGGTTTGAATATTAGTGTCTACAGGATATCAAGCACAGACATCGTACTGTTGATGATGTTTTACTGTCTAAAGCAGGGAACGCACTAAAAGATAAACCAGGCTGATTTAGAGCCTGATTCCCCCCTACAGACAATCCTCGGTAAAGTCCGGATTGTTTCATGGTTCTAAAGATAATCCTGTCAGTAAAAGTAAACAAATCAAAGTATATCGACCCGAGGAGGTTTAATACACAGTGCAGTATTAATGTCTTTTCCTCTTTGCAGAGCACCAGGACTGCCTCCATCAGGCCGTCCACGAACGACTCGGCGAGCTGCTCCGAGTCCTGAAGGCCATCATCAGCAAACACCAGAGCCTGAACTCTGTGGACATCCTCAGTACGGCTGGAACCGTCATCGCCACGGTCAAAGGTCAGCTATGATGAGCAGATCTCCTTTAAGACACACACACATGTATAACTCACAGCTCTCCTGTAAAACATCCCAGCTACTCCTCCACTCGTCCTCTGCTCTGTTTTCTGTCTCTGCTTATCTAAACCCCCCCCCCTCGCTCCTCTGACAGTTTTATCTCCTGGACATCCACCACGACTCCGTCCTCTCTCACACACTGTCCTCCCCAGGCCTCTTCCCGGGGAAGGTTTCTGAGAAGTTATCATACAGCTTCAAAGCTCTGCAGAAGTCACAGCACGAGTTAAAACCTCCAAACGGGGAGATGGAAAACAATATTTTGAGTCAGATGGAGGAGGCAGTGAGTCGCGGGTGTCCTTTGTGCTTTGTGTGTCAGTCCAGAGAGACTCCACAGAGGAATCCTTCTCACTCTCCTCCTCTGAGATTATGATCAGGCATGCAGGTCGTCTCTCCACTTGGCCGGCACACAAGAATCCCCCGGAGTTTACCGCGTCTCACTTTGCATTGCAAAGACGAGCTGCTCGGCCTTTTGAAGAGACTACACTTCATAAGGAATGGTGACATGATCAAGAGAACAAAGCAGGAGGAGGAGGAGGCTGTGTATAAATCAAGCACACCTTCACCGACATATTTGGAACGAGTTCCCACACACACACACACACACTAACATTAACACATAGAAGAGTGTGTGCATCTCCGTGTGTCTAGGTTCCGTCTTTCCTGCAAGAACTTGACTTCTTCTGAGTCACTCCAACATGTTAAAACTCTGCAGGAACTTCTACGAAAAGAAGCCAAAGATTTGACAGTTTAATGTTGAATTTATCACTTCAAATCCAGCCACAAATAAACTCTATAAAAGGTCCAGACTGATTTTTTTCTGCAGATGAAAGCTTCCCTCTTCTTTCCTTACATTGTGTTTTACATCTTTACGTTATGTTACAGCTGTCATAAAACATGGGGGAATACGCAGTACACAGGGGGAAGCTGAGTCCTAAAGCAGAAGAAGCGACCACAAACATGTCGTAAAAATTAGGATTTCTAAAAAACTAAAACATTTCTGATTTTAAATAACTTCTGGAGGGTAAAGAATACTTTGTTCATATTTATTAGTAAAATATTACAGAGTTTAAAGTGTTAAAGAGGACATATTATCCCCCTTGTCCACCTTTTCAAACAGTCCCCTGTGGTCTAAATGAAACATCTGTGCTTTGGTCAAAATATAACATGAATCAAGCACCAGAGGAGGTTTGTGACCCTGTATAAACCAGCTCTCTCAGAACGCTCCGTTTTGGTGTGTGTGTCTCTTTAAATGCAATGAGCCCCCCCCCCCCCTGAGTTTTCGCCGTAGACATCACTCCTCTGTAGAGAGAATAAAAATGGCAGACCTGCTCAAAAGTTTTGTTCTAGTCTGGCGGTGGAGTCCATGGGTGGAGATACCAGGGGAGGGGAGGGGATTTCTTTTACCAGAATCCCACTGTGACATCACAAGGAGATTTTGTGGGTTAGTAGAAACTCAGGTTACCCAAATATATGTTCAGAAACACTGTAGAAGTAGATTTTTCATAATATGTCCCCTTTAAAGGAGTCACTGTTAGTAATATCACTGAAAAATGGCCTTTCATAAAAAGTTACAAATTTACATTATAGCAGCTTCTGTGCAGGGAGGCATGTTGTTGCATCCTTTCTGCCACCAGGTGGCCAGAACGGCTCACTTCCACCACACACACACACACACACACACACACACACACACGCACACTCACAGATACAGGTCTAGGTGATGTCAGTTGTTTATCTTCAATCTGTTGCTTTACAGTGTAAATCTTTAATCAGCTTCTCTTCCTGGAGGTTTGATATTTGTTGTTGTGACGTGGATGTTGATGTTAGAATAATAAGATTTAACAATGAACTCTCAGTTTAGAGAATAACTTATGATTTATTGCGTCTCTGCTTCGTGGCACTTTAAAGTGCAGAGTTAAAAATGGATGTTCCTGCAGAGTTTTGTCCCTTCCTTTGTCTTGAAAGTCACCTCGCTTCACCCTATCAGAGTGAAATGTTCCTCTCAGACGGACTTCTTCTTATTACTTTGCGGTCGGCGAGTGTTTCGAGTGTGTTGTGCTTTTCCACTGAAACAATACCATTTTTCCCCCATGATGTAACTTCCACGTTTGGACCTGTGGTTGGGGGTTGAGCGAGTCGACCATTGTGTTTCAGCGAGCCTCAGGATGTCCTGTTGGGGGGAGGGGGGGGGTCGACAGTAGAGGTGGAGATGAAGCAGCTGAAGAGAGATACGTGGTCTGAATGGTGGAGGCTACTGTAGCTGACCTGATGTTTAGGAGAGGCTCCCAGGGGCCCCACAGACATTGGATCCCAACAAACTGTTTTATTCTTCAAATCCTTTGACAGCTGTTTGTTCGTTTGGCGGATTAAAAGCAAAGAATTCTTACGTTGGATGTATTTACTTTAATCTTTACTGGATAGAGGATCATACTTTGGATCCTCTCATCAACTTTTCAGCAGGATGTTGAAGGTTTTCAGACTGAAAAATTCAGTTTCAGTCCACCAATAGTAGCAGTTCCTGTTCACAAACAGGACAGTTTGTTTCGGTGACACTTCAAAGATATACTGAGGAAAGTTTCCAGGTAGGTCATTTGAAGTTTTGACGGTTTTTAGAGCACTTTTAGTTTTCCACATTCTCAAAAAATCTGCGTATGATCCCTCCATTTGGTCTTCGTAGCGGCTCGTCCTGTGTCCGAGTCAGAGGAAACAATTATTACGCTGAGCTTATTTGTCTGTCTTCTTTAGCTGCAGAGAGGAACACACTTTTGGATCCTCTTCAGAACTTTTCAGCAGGATGTTAAAGGTCAGATTCTGACGGTTGCACTCAGGAAATACTGAGGAAAGTGTCGAGCTGGGTGATCGTTTTGCGGACTGAAAAATTGGCTGGAAAAATGGTTTCAGTCAACCAACAGTAGCAGCTACTGTTCAGGAACGGGACGGTTTATTTCTGTTACACATCAGGAAATACTGGGTAGAGGTCTGTTTAAAGTTTTGACAGCTCTCCTAAAAATCTTCCTTTAGCTCATCATTTCATCTTCTGTATTTGGTGGGCTTCAAACAGCTCATCCTGTGTTGGATTTAGAGCAAAGAAATTAAGCGTGAGAATCATTTTCTTGGCTTCTTCTGTTAGAATAGAAACTTACTCTTTGACCGGCCAAAGAACAAACTTTTTCAGCGGAATCCTTGAGGTTTCTGGGACAGAATAATGGAGTTTCAGACGCAGCTACTGGTCCTGATCAAGACCTCTTCATTCTGTTAAACTCGGGGGGGAAGTGTTGTTGTCAAGACCACACTAACCAAGACCAAGACATACCGGAGACCGAGTCAAGACCATAAATATCTCTGACAAAACATCATCTTTTGTTTAGGGGGCGTGTCTCTCACTTAGACCGTAACACCGGGAAGGTTGCGGCCGTAACGGGGATAAAATCAAACTACAAATAAATTGAAGTTATTGTTTTCCTTCTAATCACAGTGATGACGTGGAGAAACAGCCGATCAGAGGTGGTCTTGACCGGTCTGGATTTAAAATCCAGAGTCTGCCCAGCCTGAGACTGAGACAAGACCGAGTAAAAATTATTTTGCCGACCCTTAGTATTGAGCACTTTATCTGTTTTTAAACAGTTTAAGTATCCGTCAGCTGGGATTCAAAGCTGCTGTATTGGTATTCATGTTGGGAAGGTGTGGGTATGTGGAGGTCTGTGGTTTCCATTTGGTCATATTTATGGGGTCTGTTTATGGGTTACATGTGGATAATAAACAGATCGGTCTTTATAAAGAATTAAGAGGATATTTAAGAATTGTAGAACAATGAGTTTGAACTATTGTCAACTTGTCATCCAAACATATGTTTCTTTACTTCTGTTGTGGCGTCGGTGCAGGGTCTCAGTCATCCAGGTATTCCAAAGCTTGATCCATACTGGTCTTGGTTTGAGGTCTTGACGATGTTTCACCTCTCCTCCAAAGGCTTCGTCAGTTCTCAGAGTTCTCAGAACTGAAGGATTCTTTGGAGGAGAAGTGAAACATCCTCAAGACCTTAAACCGAGACCAGTTTGGATCAAACTTTGAACTTCTGTGACGGAGACTTGATTCATTACAGAAACTTTGCAGAAGCCTGAAGGGTTTCTTATCTGGAGTATTGAAACATTGCTGAAGTGTTTGTGTAATTTAGACACTGTCACAGAGATTTCCTGGTAATCAAACATGAAGTTACCCAATATTGGTTGCGTAGGACTTCTGCTTTTCGATATAGTTAGATTTTTACTGGAAAGGTGTCAAAGTTTAGAAATCTGGTATTGTGACAACCCTAGTTTAATCAGCACCTCGTGTGTTTCAAGAGCAAACCTGGATTCAATGCATAGTGGCCACTGAAGACACATCTTGGTATTATAATTTGTATTAGTTCAGTAGTTTCTTTTAATGTTTGGAGGGTGACGGTGGTTGGGTATCTTTGGTTTTCATCGGGTCAAACATATGATCAAGTCTGGTGAAGGATAATAATTTGATTAATCCCAAAAATCTGTTCCCAGCTTGTCCATCCAAAACCCTCCTTTCTTCACGTCTATCACGAAGCCTCGATACAAACCAGAAACTTTCCAAACAACCAACACCTGAAGAGTTTTTATTTTTGCTTCTCGAGGATTTGAACTCTAGAAATCTCCATTGTTCTCCTGAAAAGGAAAGACGGAGGCAGGAGAGCACTCTGCGACATCACTGATTTATCTTTGGGCTCCTTTTCTGACCATCTCCCTCTCTCTCTCTTTCTCTCTCTTTCTCTCTCTCACCCTCTCTTGCCCTCTCTCTCCCTCCCTCTCTCTGTCTCTCTCTCTCTCTCTCTCTCTCTCTCTCTCCCTCTCTCTCTCTCTCTCTCTCTCTCTCTCTCTCTCTCTCTCTCCCTCTCTCTCTCTCTCTCTCTCTCTCTCCCTCTCTCCCCCTCTCTCTCTCTCTCCCTCTCTCCCCTCTCTCTCTCTCTCCTCTCACCCTCTCTCTCTCTCTCCCCCCCCCCCAGCGGGTTTATTTTTCTCTTCCCGGTCAGTACAGGAAGTTTACTGTGAGGACTGATTACAGCAGTATTTACTCTGCTGTTTCTCTCTCGCTCTGTGCTCAGTCATCACTGTGTTTGGACTCTGAGCAGGAAACTACTGCCTCTCCAGATTACAGCCAAATATACACACTCTCAGTCTGAGCTTATCTCTTCTGATTTAAGGTTCTGAGTTGTTTTTGGATTCCTCTGAGGGGCTTTTCCACTTGAACATGTTTGAAACATAAATTGCACAGCCCTCACTGGGATTTGACTCAAGAGGAGTTTTATTGACTGTGTTGTTGACGTCACACACAGGATGATGAATCACATCAGAGATTCATGCTTTTTTAAAAACAGCTCTTTCAGTGGCGCTGGGGCAGGATGTGTTGTGAGAGAGATGTGTTTGACTCATTGGTTCTTCATGGCTGCCTGACAGGAGTGAACTTCAAGGAGGTGAACGACGAGAACAAGCAGAAGCTCTTCGGAGAGATCTACACGGCCATCGACACCTTGGCGTTCACCTTTGGAAATGTGTAAGTATGATGTCCTCACAGCTCACTTCCCCTAAGTGGAACGAATCTGTTGACTCTTTAAAGGACAGTTAAAGTAACGCAGCTTAAAGTCTTTCTACCTAAACAGTTTAAGGCGACTAGCCAGCAACATCTGTATTTGTTTAGCGCCATTCATAACAATTGTTATTTTGAGACACTTTACGAGAGCGGGTTAAAGACCTTACTCATTGTTAAGAAAAATGGGATGGGGGAGACGGGATAATATGCAGGAAGGATATCTCCTTTGTATTCCTCTTGTTCCTGTTGTCCACACTTCCTCCCCGTTGTGCCCTTGAGCAAGGCACCAAACATCTCTCCACAGGTCCTGTGCGTGTGCGTGTGCGTGTGCGTGTGCGTGCGTGCGTGTGTGTGTGCGTGTGCGTGCGTGTGTGTGTGTGTCTCTCTCAATAACAGAGTGTAAGCAGTGCTCAGCAACCAGACCAGTTTGTAGACTTGGTCTGCATTGGAACCTGAACCAGAGACTCTATGGTTCCCAACCTAAGTCCCTACAGACTGAGCTACTGTCAGCCCAATGAGCTTATACACGTGTTGTTTTATTCCATTTATTTTGGATTCCCCTGCCTGTCTTTAAAGAATTAATTCTGTCCACTTCTTCAAACTTGTGGAGAGCAGTTAACCCGTCTCAGAGTTTTTTTCTTGCTGGTCAGTTTGATTCCTTCTCGGTCCAAACTGTGATTTCTTCTTTGTGTGTTTCTCCCCTCAGAGTGTCTGACTTCCTTATGGGAGATGTAGAGAATGGATCAGTGTTGGGGCTCCCCCTGACAAAAAGGAGCCGGGTGAGAAAAACAACTATATTCATACTCTGTTTGTCTTCTTTACATAAAACGCCTGAATGATGCAGTCCAACTGTCCTTCATCTAATCGAGCCATCGAGAGGCATGAGAGTGTTTATGGTGCCTCTGTTCTTAAAATACATTCGGTGTCATAGGAGCACCAGGAAGTGTCAGACTAAAGATATGAAACATTACAGGAGAGGTCAGAGGTTAAGCAAACTCTCGACACTCGATGAGTCGATGTGATGTATTTGTTGATTTCCTGCTGCAGGTTTCATAACCGCTCCTAAGTGAGAGGCCGTCTAGCTTAGAGTAATGTCATCAGAGCTGTGACTTCATCCTCATCATCGTGGATCTTAATCTTCATCTGTCTGTGATTCAGTCTTTCGAGAACGTCTCTGTGGAATCTGGAGGATCCGGTCCAGAGAAAGATGATCTGCCAGGTAAGACTGATCTCTGTGACACACAGCAGCTGCTGCTTCATCAGTGTGAGGAGAGAAACTCAAATTAAGCTTCAGAATTGTGTTATTTTAAACCTTTACTCTACATGTAGAACGCTTTAGGAGTAACAGATACCAAATAATTTTGAATTGCTTCAGCCTGCAGAGAAATCGCAGGTCGCTGGGGCTCCGGTGTCTTCAAGCACTAAAGTCAAAGTGTGTCCCTCACAGGCTCCGGTTGTTATTCTAAGTGTGTGACATCATCACAGAAAGGATCCCTGCAGAGAGATCTTTTAGTTAGAGAGGGAGAGGATTTTTTTAAAACCAGAAGCAGCCCCTGTCTCGCTCTCTTCAAAGCCACCAAACTTTATTTATAAAAAACGGTAATTTAACCTCATAGATCACAGGAGTTGTTCTTTATTTCTGCCTCGGGGCCAGTTGGTTTGCTTTGCGCCAATTTGGTTTATCAAGCAGTTAGTTCAGGTCCAACAAAATATGAATGCAATATATGATAACACACACCAAAAATCACATCAACAGACCTCCTGTAATCTGCGCCGTAGAATCACTGTGTTTAATGATTGTAGTCTGGTGTGTTTTAGAGAGAGTGCAGTGGTTAGCGCTGTCGCCTCACAGCGAGGAGGTTCCTGGTTTGAATCCCCGTCCTTCAGGAGTCTCTCTGTGAGGAGGTTCCTGGTTTGAATCCTCGTCCTTCAGGAGTCTCTGTGAGGAGGTTCCTGGTTTGAGTCCCCGTCCTTCAGGAGTCTCTCTGTGAGGAGGTTCCTGGTTTGAATCCTAGTCCTTCAGGAGTCTCTGTGAGGAGGTTCCTGGTTTGAATCCTCGTCCTTCAGGAGTCTCTCTGTGAGGAGTCTACATGTTCTCCTCGTTCATGTGTGGGTTCTCTCCTGGTACTCCGTCTTCCTCTCACCGTCCAAAGACATGCTCCTTAGGTTAACTGCTGACTCTGCTGTCTGTAGGTGTGAATGTGTCTGGTTGTCTGTCTCTATATGTCAGCTCTGTGATTGGCTGGTGAACAGTCCAGGGTGTAACCCCGCCTCTCAACCAATAACAGCTGGGATCAGCTCCAGCCCCCTGCAACCCCTTAACAAGAAAAAGCGGTTCAGATTATGGATGGAAAAAGGATGCCTACAGAGATCTTTTAGTTAGACACTTGGAATAACAAACGGAGTCTGTCAGGGACGAAAACAACAACTCTTAGTGGACACACTTTGATTGGATGCAGTTTTATGTTAAATCCATTACAGCCTGATTCAATGCTGAGCAGTTTACTGGAGAAATCATCAAATCTTTAAGGACACATTTAGTCATCGAAATCCATCAATAGTACCAAAACTAAGCAGATGTTTTTGGCTTCATCCTTGTGGTTTTGACTTTTGTTTCCTCTGGAGTGTGAGTACAATCACACCTAGACTTGATGAGCAGTCTTATTAATCTGTCCAGCAGTCCCTCTAATGTCACAAATATCTTCAAATTAAACTCCCCCATGGTCAGTGAGGGCTACGCTCGCTGACTCTCCGCTGCAGTCAGCTCAAAGGTCACATTTACTCTTGATGGATGGCGCTGGTTTGCTGGAGGTTACGTCTAAGCTTCATCCACTATAACATCCCTTGTGGTTTTTCCTTGGTTCTCTAAGGTCCGTCTCCACCAGTCAGGGCGGAGGAGGTGGACCGGACGCTGCAGCGGCAGGACAGCGGGGTGGAGTCAGCGCTGCTCTACGCCAAGGCCTGGTCCAAATACACCAAAGAGCTGCTGGCGTGGGTGGAGAAACGCCTCAGTCTGGGTGAGTGAGAGAGAGCCAACGAGGAGTTAAAGAAGAGAGCATTGATGATGTGTAGAGACGCAGCAGAAAAGTACTACCTGCTGCTATGTGTTGTCATGACGATGTGAAGACTGAAGTCAGGTGGAGGTGTTCATGTTGGAGAGGAACTTTAAGATTTATTTTTGGGCTTTTTGTGCCTTTTAATGTAAAGATAGGACAGTGGATAGAGTGAGAAATCAGAGAGAGAGAGAGTGGGGAATGACATGTGGAGGACCGCCGCCCCCATTCATGGGGCGTGCGCACTAACCACTGAGCCACCAGGTCCCACCACCAGTTGGAGGGAAACTTAACGAGATATTTAGTCCAGTGATTCTCCACCTCAGGGTTCGGACCTCTGCGGGGGCGCTGCACGATCATTTCTGAGGTGTGGTCAGATGTTTGTGAAGAAGAAGAAAAAAGGAAGTTACAAAATTAATTAACACATTTTTTGACTGTGGGTCGGTTTTCAGATTAAAGCGCCTGTAGCAGCGAGTCATGGTGTTCACACAGACTGTATGTGTGCTGTGTGAGTGACCGCTGTCAGCCCTGTCTTTCTTTAGAAGCTCCACCCCAAATTAACAAAAAGGTCGAGACCCACTTCCTTTGACAGCGTGGTGGAGGAGTTAACTTGTTCCTTTCCCCCTCACATGTCTTATGAAGAAGACTTTATACTAAAGTTTTGGTACTTCTACAGTATTTATTGCACAATAACATTTTGCATATCAATCTCTTGCACTATTTTAGTTTTTTTTTGCACGTTGTTATCAGATTATTTTCATGAGCTTTTCTTCATTTCTTCACACTAAGCTTCCTGCAGCAACAGGTGGTTAAAAATCTGGTAGATTAATCTAAATTCTCTTATGGTGGCTCTCATGGTGTTTTATTTTGAACTTCCTACGTCATGCTGTGCGGAGGAGAGCCGCATTATGAGGGGATTAATTAGAGTCCGGTTTTCTGAGAAAATGTTCTCGATTACCTGAGCTGGATTGAAAACAATGCGGTGTTATCCCGGCTCGGGGCTGAGTGTGAGGGCCTTTTGTTCTGCACACCAGTTAATGAATGTTTTCAGTTTAATACCTAATCAGGGACACAGAGCGCTCAGTCAGGCTGTACAGAACGCCGGTTATCAGGCAAACATACGAGATGTTTGTTTAACACCTCGCCTTCGGTTAATGCATCCTTCACTCATTGATTTTTCTCACAGGCCATGTTTGATTTGATCAGAAAACTTTAGTTTGTCTTTTATTAAAGGAGCAGTATGTAACTCTGACCCCTAGTGTTTAAAATGGGTACTGCGGTCTAAATTCAAAACATTGTAGAGAGCTGTCTCTCCCCCCCCCTCCATTCTAGAGTCCATGCTCACACAGGTCACCATGTGGTGGACACTGAAGCTTCAGTGTTTATCCAGCTCTGCATGGGTCTGTAAACCTTTCTGTGTTCTAACCTCTCTCCATTTTTCAAAAGCATCTCCAATATTGATCCTAGTTTGAGCACGTTTCTGCTCGTGGAGCTTATTAGAAACATGCAGAGGCTTTTTAGGTCGGGTACAATCACTTCTATCTGAACCACTTCTCTTGCCCGCTTCCATCACTGCAACACCTGTTGACCTGATAACTGCTCTCATATCTGGCAAACCGAGGGGCGTCCAAAACGGCCGTGTGGGGGTGCCTTAAAACTGCCTACCTTCTCTGGTCCAAACAAATCCAGAGCATTCAGGAGCAGAATCTAAAGTTAGAAGGAGGACATACTGACTGCTGCATTGTTGTCAGAGAAGCCAGCACTTCAACATAGCATGTTTCCTTAATGTCTGATCAGATAGTAAGGTCACTTTATCATTTCACTCACTACACATCTTAGTTTGAATTAAATCTGTTATTGAATTAACTTGTCTCTGTTCTTTCTGCAGATATTGAGTGTGCAAAAAGTTACGCCAAAATGGCCGAATCCGCCAAGTCACTTGCAAGTCAACAGGTGAGCCATTTCTTCCAGTGATGTGACCTTTGCTGCTACCAGATCTGCTTTTTGTGGACTGACATCAAAGCTTTCTCCTTCCTGTTTTAAGGAATTCATGCCTTTCCGTGAGACCTACATGACCGCTTTCAAAAATGACATTGAGTACAGCCAGCTGGTTCTTCAAACTGCAGCGATACTCCAAAGCAACAAATTCATGCAGGTAATCCAGCAGAGCCAAAGAAAGCATCTCTGAAACGGAATTTTGGTTCTATAGAGGAGACAAAAGAATTAATTTTCTGTGTGTGTGTGTGTGTGTGTGTGTGTGTGTGTGTGTGTGTGTGTGTGTGTGTGTGTGTGTGTGTGTGTGTGTGTGTGTGTGTGTGTGTGTGTGTGTGTGTGTGTGTGTGTGTGTGTGTGTGTGTGTGTGTGTGTGTGTGTGTGTGTGTGTGTGTGTGTGTGTGTGTGTGTGTGTGTGTGTGTGTGTGTGTGTGTGTGTGTGTGTGTTTCTAGCCTCTCCTCACCAGAAAGAGTGAGCTGGACAAACTACGCAAAGAGGTCAAGGAGCAGTGGCAGAGAGAGCTGAAGAAAATGGTGAGTTCACAAAGACGTTTACACAGCCGGGTCGCAGTTCAAGAATGCTCTTGAAATGCCCGAGCATTATTCACACATGCATGTGCACAGGCAAACACATGCTTTGTTTCATTCAGCCTGTCGGGACAGTCGGCCAGTTCTGTGTGTGACAGGGTCATCATCAGTAACTGAGCTTCAAACACAGATCATTATTTCTGTACATGCTTGAATTCAGCTCCATAACGAGTTAGAAAGTGACGAGATATTTGTCTTTATTATAAAGTACGACAGCTTCTCCAGCTGCTTGAGGAGTTTAACTTTCAGGAAATGAATCACTCTCACTGGTTTCTGGCTTTTCCTTTAATACTCACTGTTTGGAGCATCATCGACAAAGCATTAACAAAGAGATGTGGGAGAAATGTTACTTTTAATTGGGACCAAAGTTAAGTTTGATTACTTTTCTGTGATTGTAGTGTCTCGTTGTCTGCGTCTGAATTTTTCATCCTTTTTTTTTTTTTAAATTTCCAGAACGAAGCCGACAGCGCTCTGAAGAAGGCCCGGCTGCTGCAGGCCCAGCGGCAGGAGGAGTACGAGAAAGCTAAGGTGTCCACCAGCCGGCTGGAGGAAGAGCAGATCGGAGGAGGAGGAGGAGGAGGAGCGGCGGCGTTGAAACAGTTGGAGAAGAGACGCAGGCTGGAGGAGGAGGCTCTGCAGAAGGTACACGTACAGCACCTCCTCTGCTGGACCTACTTGAATGTGGTCGATTGCAAAGTTCCTATTTCCTTCCTTTTTATTATTTTTTTCAACATATTTTTATTAAAGCAAGTTCAAGCCGTACAGTGCAATTGGGATGCAGTCAACATTTTTCTTTTTTTCCCCAGAAACATCCAGTATCCAGTATCACTTCTCCCTATAAACAACCCTCCCAGTCCAACAAATAGACCTCTTACAATAACTAAATAAAAATAAAAAGATAAGCGTGAAAAAATAAAAGTACATTTGAGAAGAGTAGTATCAAAAAAAGAACAATAATAATAATGATACAAAATGACGAGACAAACATAAATAAAAAATAAATAAATTAACAAACAGTAACAGGAATGAAAGTCGTTATGTGTATACAACACAAGTAAATAGGAAATATGTCCTTCCTTTTAAAAGCTATCTGGATTTTTGTAGTCCGGTTTTCTCAGCAGCCCTAATGTCCTTAAAACCACTGATAACAACTGTTTATAAAGCGCTTTTAGCTGTATTATTTGTCATGCAGCAGTTCTGTATAATTCAATTCCTCTGTCCTACTTCATAAGACACTCATGTTGCACAGTTTCCCCATGTCGGCAGGATCTTTGTTTGCAGGCAGAAATCGAAATGTTGAAGTGTGTGAAACAAAGAAAGCTTTACACTGCATGCAGATTTGTGCAGAATAAAGTTACAGATACAAACTGGTTTTCATTGTTCAAGCTGTCAGCTGCGTTGCACTTTGCCCTGTCAGGTATGTGAGACGGTGTTGTTGTGAAGGCTTTGTTATTTTCTCTTAGCTGACGTCAGTCTGTTGGGATGAAGGTGATTGTTCTCCTGCGACACTAAAAGCCTAAGACATCGATGCATAAGATGAAGATTCTCTCCATCCAGTGTTCAAATCTGTTAATTGAATAATTTGCTGATCAGATAATTAATCATGGGATGGATGTGTTTGCAGGCTGAGGAGGCCAGAGAGCACTGCACGTCCTGTCAGCTCGACGTCGGTGTGAAGAGAGTCGATTTGGCCAAAACCAAGAGTGTGATCATCACTCAGATCAGAGAGATGGTGTCCCAGTGTGACCTCACCTTCAAGGCTGTAAGTTCTGATGTCAGGGCGTTAAGTGTTTAGAACAAAAATCATATTTTTTATCCAGAACAGACTTGATTACTTGATTTCTTTGTCTCAGGTGACGGTGAATTGGTTCCAGCTCCAGCAGGCTCAGGTGGTCTCTCTCCCCGTCAATCATCAGACTCTGTGTGAAAATGGCAAACAGTACGAGCCGGGTCAGCGCTACATCGACTTTGTGAGGAATCTACCAACAGACGGGCCTCGACTGGAGCCACACTCGTTTGACTTTGCTGCCACGCAGAACGCAGGGTGAGACATGAAGACGTATCTATTCAGCCGGCTAACACTTGAAACCAGATAAGAAGGTTTTTATTGTCGGACTGAAAGTTTGACTGCAGTGAGGAACACAGACACTTCAAACACTTACAACCTGATCTGAAAATGTTTCAATCTTTATGAACAATCTGTAAACATGTCCTTAAACTTACTAGAATATGAAGTGTGAGTCCAGCTGGAGGCTCTCCTCTGGGGCCTGTGTCAACCTCCTGAGTTATCAGTGTTTGTTTCCTCTCTCAGATTTGATCAGGGGAAATGAGTTCTATTTGAGTTATTTCAGTCTCACAGATAAAGCAGCAGCTCTCAGAGAGGGTCACAGTCAAAGTTAGTTTCACTTCATTCATTTCACATTTTACTATTTTAAACAGATTTGTGAGGGACTTTAGTGCAAACACAACAAACAGCTCGATAAACATAAAACAAAAAGTAAACAACATCAACAATGTTCCAACGTTTGTGAAATACCGTTTGACTGTAAAACAATACAAAGTGGATGATGATTATTGATGCTCAGGATTATTTAAAGCCTCAGTCCAAAAAAACAAGTTTCCTTTTTTAGAGTTTTGGTTGACGCAGGTTTGTCGTCACACACACACACACACACACACACACACACACACACACACACACACAGATGGAAATAAGGGTGTGCTTTGTTCTTTCTTTGTCCCCTCCGACCCTCAAAACGCTGATCCCTGTGATCAAAAGAATTCAGCTTTGGAAACAGGAAATGAAGCTTCACACTCACACACACACACACACACACACACACACACACACACACTCATTGGTCCTGAAAAGGTTAAATATAGATGGCTGACCTACTTTCTGTACTTTGTGGATTAATTATAAATGCTTTTATTAGCACTGGTCGGACTGGTTTCAGTCGTTTAAATCGTCGTCATCGGAGTTATTCGAGGATGTTTTTATCTGATGGAAGGAGTCAAAGATAAAAGTGTACGAACTAACAGCTGACTTATATCTAGTAAAGAAAACAAAAAACTGCGAGACAGAACAGAGTCACAGCGCTCGTCACTTTTGGCCCAAGCAGCCAATCAAATCGACCTCTGCTTTCTATGACACTTCCTCCTCGTCTGCAAAGCAACGATGAGAGCTCTACGTTTGCTCCAATCCATTTTTTCCCACTTTTTTAAAATTAGTTTTTATTTGTTCGTATGCACACACGGCCCCGCTCTACAGGCGCTCCCGACTGTTCTTTCCCCAGAAGTGCTCGGGTGATTTTGGATGATCAGGGCCTCATATTTTATCATTAGACTCAGGTCAGAGAAGTCCCTCTTAAAAACCTGCAGTACGACCAGAACACCGTGCTCCATGATGGGGATGCACTCTTCATTGATCTGTGACTCAACAATGTGAAATTTACCACAGGAACAGGAAGTCATTAATCTGTATATAATAAGGTAATCTGCTTTATAACGATAACAGTATCATCACTTTTGTACCATTGTTTCCCTCCACAGCTTACCTTTAAACAAGCGCTCGCTGAGTGGCAGCCACTCCTCCCACAGCAACCTGTCCCAGGGGTCCGTGACCTTTGACCCCCTCTGTGCAGAAGACGTGGACGGTCCATCCAATGCCCAACATGCCAAGATCGCAGAGAGGCGCTCCAACAGCAGCACTGACATCCAAGGTGTGTAGGATAGATGAGAGGGCGACTGACAGAACAAGCACTTTTTAAAAACAACGGAATATTTTCAAAATAAAGTCAGAAGTGAAAGTCATCTGACGGCCCTGAACTGCTCCCCACGATGCAGATCCAGAGACAGAGACAGATTTAATCCACAACACATCACATCCATAAAGATGTTCCTTTGTATTCTCTGTAGTAATTCATTTTTATAAATACATTTTAACCATTGTATCAATCCTCATTTCTCTTCTGCAGCACTTCGGATTCAGGCCCCGTTTCGTCCCTGGGCCTCAACCAGTCAGGGTGGAGGGATGTGCAGCGACTCGGAGAGTGCCGGAGGCAGCAGCGAGTCTCGATCCATAGACTCACCTACAGCGAGTCCCGGTAGGACCACCCACAGTTTGACCTTTTACCCTACCTTCCCTCATCCTATCGTTTCTGTTTAGCTTTGATTTAGATTGAACTTTAAACGTATTTAAAGACGTAAATGAATGAAGAACGTAAATCTTAACATGATATTGGCTTCAACTTCAAACTAACAGAGAGGTTATGTAACACTTAAATCCTCGCAGGAATCTTTCTGATGTATCAGTCAGGGAACTTAAATCACCTTTACTTCCTGACACGCTTTCATGTCAGGCATCCAGCCGTGAAATTCACCTGGGTTAGGGTTACATTTGAGAAGACACACATCATCAGATGTGTGAGTGTGATGTCACTGATACAGACACCACAAACACAGGTGATGGACAGGAGGGACATTCCTCCGCTCTGACGTGGCTCCAAACATTGAATCATCTCTTTGATCCTGATGTTCACTCAGCTCTGTTTGCATCTTATCTCCCAATGAAATCACTTAGCAACCAGTGACAGTGATACCTCTGTGTTAGACTTTATGTAACTCTGTTTGGTGCAGGATGTGTCATAAACATTTTCACACATGCACTACTGAAAATCTCTAGAGAAGCATCAGAGTCCTCTATATGACACTATAAAGAGAATATGTGTCTTCCTATCAATGCTACGTGTAGTTGAAGAGAATCTCAGTGTGAACTAAAGAGTGGAGAAGAACATACTGGAGAACAGGAAACATGCAGCAGCAGGTTCATTAGAGCACAGAGATGGTAGAGGTGGTGTGCAGACAGTCTATGGTCGTACAGTGATCACAGGGAATAAAGGTCACCACCCCCTCCCACTGGCTCCAGGTGAATTCTCCTGATTATATCCTGCTGTGTTCTCACATCAGCTCACTCTGACTTTCTGTAGAATAAATACGAGGAGGCTGGAGGAGAAACTCTGGGTGAAGAGAGAAACATTCAGATGTTTCTGTTCACACATGACGCTCAGACTGAAAATATCAGGACGTTTTTCAGGAGTTAATGGAGCGGGGGTTAAAAATGGAGATGTGACTCGATGTTGATTGTGATCGTGAGGACTTACTGTTGTGTTGTGTTTTACTGTGCAGGAGACTTCAAGAGGAGATTACCTAGAACCCCCTCCACCGGCACCATGTCGTCTGCAGATGACCTGGACGACAGAGAGCCTCCATCGCCCTCTGATACAGGTGAGTCAGACTGAAGTCTTTGAATCAACTCGTCTCATATAATGCACAAAGTATGTTTCATATTGTGTCAATCTTTTGGGTTGTTATTGAGTTCATGCTCCATACGAGAAGAAAAACCAGCATCTTTTTTGCATCCATCTTCCCGCCCGCAGGTTTGAGTGAGATGATTATTGAAACAGCCAGCTCCCCGGGTCCCTTCAGAAACACCCAGATGTCCAAAGCTGCTCAGACCCACAAACTGAGGAAGCTCAGAGCTCCATCCAAGTGTCGCGAGTGTGACGGCCTGGTGGTGTTTCACGGAGCCGAGTGCGAGGAGGTAACCCTGGTTTCTTTTCTTCTCCCTTTTAGCTCAAAAACAAACTGAACAAAATGCAGACCAGCCGTGAGCCACTTCAGCAAGTCCAAAGCATTCAGAGGACGACGAGTCCTCCATGAACGCTGCCAAAAGTTTAGAACGGCGTCTTTATCAGTCATGGTGAGCAGAAATCAAAGAGCGACAAAAGAGAGAGAGCACCTCTGCCCTCATCAAAACATCCAAATTAAAGCAAAACTTTAAACTGGCAACAAAGTTCTGCTCAGAGTCCAAATCCTCCTCCGGGAACGAGCGTGGAAACTGAAGGTCTTTTGTTGTCTTCTGAGGACTCTCCTCCGTCACCCCTGTGACCCCCCCCGCCGGTTCATTTCAGATCCAGTTTCTCTCCATATTTATAAGATGGGAAACAAGAAAACAAGAGTTACTGGGAGAGTTTATGTAACACTGGTGGATTCAGTTACAAACATGAGAACTCTGCAGTCTTTTCTCTTATTGGTTCAAAAGGTTTGCTGACGTGAAGGTTTTTTCTTTGTTTCCTTTTTAGGAACAGTTCCCGATCTGACTTTCTTTAAACGTCTGTTTGATGTAAAAAGGCCTCAACAAACTGGATCAATGGTTTACCTTTGTGATAGGTTAATGGAAAGCCTTATTTATGGATAGAAGTTAAAAGTTTTTCTAAATGTGTGACATCATCACAGAGACCTTCTAGATGATTTGAAACACAAACAGCTGTTACATCACTCTACAAACACACCACACTCATAAAAACCTTTATTTGACCTCACAGATCACAGGAGTTTGTAGTCTTCTAATAGATTTTTAGAAGGTGTTACTGTTTGACTTTGGTGTATGTGGGCAATACAAGATAAGACGAACCTGCTTCAGACAGACGTAGACAAGCATTTCTTTTCTGTGTGGCACAATTACTGTTTATGTTAAAGGAGTCTGGTGAATTTGAAAACAGCAATGAAAGGCTTATCTCTTGATTAAAAAAGGATTATTTCATGCCTGATATCATAACAGAAATGACTTCAAACAAGCACACCATGTGAAAGATTGCCTCGCAGCTTTTACCGCCTGTTTTCCCAACTCTGACTGAATCTAAAGCTGAAGTCATCATCTTGCCTCTTCAGCTTTGAAGATCAAAAAGTCTGGTCCTTTCTGTTGAAACCTCTTCCCTAAGTCCACCCGTTTTGTCTCTCATGTCTCAGTGTGTCTCTGTAATAACTGAGATCCATGTGGTGGTGTTTGCAGTGTTCGTTGGCCTGTCATAAGAAGTGTTTGGAGACTCTGGCCATCCAGTGTGGTCATAAGAAGCTGCAGGGGAGACTCCACCTCTTTGGCATCGACTTCACTCAGGCGGCTAAAAACAGCCAGGACAGCGTTCCCTTCATCATCAGGAAGTGCACGTCAGAGATTGAGAACAGAGCGCTGAACATTAAGGTATTTTCTCTCCAGATATTATGAGAAATTAAATACAAATAAGTAGTATGTGAGAGAGAACGCTGCTACTGTCAGATATTAAAAGATTTGAGTGCATCTGAAGATGAAACAGGATCAGGATAAATGTCACCAGATTAACTTTAGTTTAAGAGTTTAACCGATTTGCTTGTTTCATCCACACAGTTTGACCATAAGAAGAATGTGTCTTTTGTCCTGTGTTGAATTCATTTCTGGGTTTTCGTTCTGTGCAGGGTATCTACCGCGTGAACGGTGCCAAGTCCCGGGTGGAGAAGTTGTGTCAGGCGTTTGAGAACGGGAAACACCTGGTTGAGCTCTCGGAGCTTTATCCACATGACATCAGCAACGTGCTCAAACTCTACCTGAGACAGGTGAGCTCCTTGAAGAACCTCTTCATTAGAAAATCACTTTCAACCTCGACCCTGTTTTTACATGTAAATGATTTATCTGACCTTCTGGTGGAGAGGCGACTGACTCTATCACTGAATGCTAGTAGTAGCTCATTTTACTTGTTGAGTTTCTTAAAAGGAGAAGTACTGGCTAATTTAGGGAAGAACATCTTATTTCAAGACACTCGACAAGTACAACTTTTCTATTCAGGCCTCATTTTTTTATATCTCTTGGAATAAGATGTGTATCTGAACTCGTCGGGTGAATGTGTCTTATGAGAAGTGTAATAGATATTTTTGACAAAAACACTTACTTAAATTAGTTTCTCTGCAGTAATTCCTCCTCTTTAATCCAGAAACAGCTATCTGAAAAGCCACCAGACTCCAAACTCAGAAACGATATTTTGACCTCTCAGAACACGGGAGTTTCTCGTCTTCTCGACGTCCGCCTCATTCTGAAACCTTGTTGGTGTTTTTGTGTGACTTTGTTTTTTTAGATTTGTATTGCATCTCCCGTGCTCTGCAGGATCAGATGATGTTTTTATCAGGGTATGGAGTTACTTCAAATGAACCAATCAGAGCAGAGAGGGTTCTCTAAATAAGGAAGTTAAAGGGTTAATGTTCCACAGCGTGAAGCCGCTGTGATATTTATTTGTCCGTGTTTATTTTGGGACGAAGCTCTCTCGCCTCACAGTTGATCACATTTCTAATTCAGTCCCAGCTGTTTATTTGCTCACATATTTCAGCTGCCTCTGTTTATTATTCACTTCCTGGTTTGAATGTTGCTTTCCTCTGCAGCTTCCAGAGCCGCTCATCCTCTTCCGTTACTACAACGACTTCATCGGTTTGGCGAAGGAGAGTCAGAGTATCATCGTGGAGGAGCTCGAGGCGCTGAGACTCAACCCATCCCCGGTGGGCCCGGCCCAGGTCAGCGTGGATCTGAACCGAGTCCTCTTCAAGATTAAGGACCTGCTGAGGCAGATGCCACCGGCTCATTATAAGACGCTGCAGTTCCTCATAGAGCATCTGCACCGGTAAACATCCCATAATACACGAGTCAGCTCAGTGCAGTGTGTACAGTCAGACCTTCAGTACCTAAAAATATATCTAAACATACAGTTTGGTTTGTTTTATAAGAATGCAACGTTTACACTGAATCCAGTACATGCACATACAGACGCATGATTAAAGAGTACCAGACTAAGGGGGCACCGGTGGCCTAGTGGTTAGTGTGGGTCAGCCCAATGGGCCAAGGTTACAGTCCTCCAAGCGGGCGGCCCAGGTTTGGATCCGACCTGTGGCTCCTTTCCTGCATGTCATTCCTCGCTCCAATTTACAACTCTATCCTCTGTCCCTGAAATAAAGAGTGCCAGACTAATGAAGGACATTTACACTGAATAGATAGTGATTATAAAGATCAAATACATTTCAGAACACAAGCTGGAGAATTCTAACTCTGTGGAGACCTGGGCGCAAAAAGTTTCAGGTGTGCACCAAAATCAATCTGGTGTTCCCCAAATAAAACAGTATCTTAAGTGTGCACCAGACGGTTACGGTTTCATGTACACACACACCATACTTTCTTGATTAAACACAGCAGCAAAAACTTGAGCACAGGTCAGTTTGTGATGAGCAGCAGAAACTTCAACATGTTACTGCAGAGACTAAATATAAATCAATCTGGTGTCATTTCACTAGCTTCTAAAGAAGATCGAGTGTTTTACTTTAACACATATTGATAAATCTTGTTGATGTGATGTTTGTGGATAAACAAGCGATGATCCGTCCTCTCTCCAGGGTGACGGAGCGATCAGAGGAGAATAAAATGACGGCGAGTAACCTGGGCATCATCTTCGGCCCGACGCTGATCAAACCAAGGCAGACGGACGCTGAAGTTTCCCTCTCCTCTCTGGTGGATTACCCGTATCAGGCCCTTATCATTGAGCTCCTCATCAGACACTACCAGATGGTCTTTGACACCCCCCTCAGCCCCCTCAGCCCCTCCTCACCCTCTGAGGTCGACGCCCAGCAGCGCTCCGACACCCGCCTCACCCAGCAGGAGAAGGAGCAGCAGCTGAATCGCCACTCCAAGTCGCTGGGAGACATCAAGGAGGTAAATAATAAAGATATATAATCGCAGTGTTTTATTAAAGACAAGAGTTCAGGTATTTAATGTGGAATGTTATTTCTAAGACTTGACTTACTGTTTTCTCTCCTTGCTTCTCGTCTCGTGTGTATCACAGCAGAGCTCAAAGGTGTATAAAAGACATTCCTCCATCATCCCTTCTTCACATCTGTTGGCTGAAGTTCAGGAGACAATACCGAGCCTGGATGAAGGAGACTTCCAACCTGGTCAGTACTGATACAAAAACCATCATCGTAAAGGAAACAGTTTCTGCTGTCTGCTGGACGATATAGTGAACACTATGATCGCAAAATAACTCCTCCACTAGCTTCATGGTTTCATCACTGGAGGTTTCCTCTTGATTGAAGTTAAGACACTCTGTCTGGAGAGGCTGCAGGCTGAGCTGCAGCTGACGTTAGCTAGTGTTTAGGGTTGATATTCACACTCCAGTGAGGGGGCTGCACCCAAAGCTGCTGCTTACTTTACCTCCCTTATTCCCTTATATTGTGTAGTTTAGAAAATCCAAACTATGACAGTGACCTGACCTGAAAGAGAAGGAAAGATGCAGGATGGACGTGTTTTAATGTCCTGCATGCAGGCTAAAGAATGCAGACTGATTGGCTGTTGTCGTATTTAATCTGTTGTGTATCTTAATACTGCTTTCAATCATTTAACTCAATACACTAATAATGAACTCTTGTTTTCTCCTTTTTTTTTTTTTTTTAAAGCTGACCAAGAGGACTCAGAGACCTTTAATGGAGTTTTGTCATCAGGCGTCCCTGAAGTGGGCAAACCCAGTGAGGGAGTCCTCCGTCGTTATCAGCACAACACGGTCACCAGAGTCCAGCTCCGACACCCCCGACACAAACTATCCTCCCGACCGGTGAGCATGCCCGCCGAACAGATCCTCAACCGAGGACAAGTGGACGAGAACAACACGAGGAACAGCAGCGAGCAGGACGACAGGAGGGGGGGAAGCTGCGACCAGTCCATCGAAGAGGTGGACGAGACCGAGAATACGAGAACAAGAGCAGGAGGTCATTTCAGGAGTACATTTATAGACACGCAGACGTTACGCAGAACTTGGGACAAACAGTACAAGCACGAAGTCTCCAAAAGTGTTAAAATAATGACCGCTTCTCCTCCGGAGAGTACGGCAGCAGATCCCAGCAGCTTATCAGTGTCTGTGCCGTTATCCTCCTCACCTTTCTCTCTCGGGATGACAGGGAGCGCCGTTAGCAACATCTACCCCAACAGGCCGTACACTGTCGCAGTGCGAGCAAACAGGACTTTGAGACGGGAGGACAACGTGACCAAGTACAGCCCTGTGGTCACAGCTTTCAGGGCTCCCAGGACTCTCCAGCCTCCCCCAGGAACCTTCTACAAGCCCCCGCCTGGGAGCAAAACTAAAACTCTGCAGAACTTTGCTTTAGCTAACAGCGCTGAGGAGGAAGAAGATGAGGATGAAGAAGAAGAGGAGGAGGAGGAGGAGGATGAGGATGAGGATGAGGATGAGGAGGAGTTGGGGATTGAGATAGAGGTGTCAGTAGATGAACCTCTGGAGGAGGAGGAGGAGGCTGAGCAGGCGGCCATGTCTCAGTCTCCCAGCTCCAGCCCTGAGGAGCTGGGCCCGAACCAGGCCAAACCAGTGTATCAGAGACTGAGGCCTCGACGGCTGCAGGAGGTGGAACACAGAGAGGCTCACTTTGTGTGAACGCCTGAGAGATCTAAAACAAAAACAGTGATCAAATGTGCACAAATAATAAGAAACATCTGCATAGACACTGCAGAGACATTTCCAGATGTTTCATGATTGTGAGCACTGTGTGGACAGTTGAAGACAAACATGATGCACTTAAAACGCTGTAAATGTTCAACATGAATCACTAATATTTCATCACCAATCACCTGCTCAGAACACTCTGTCGCCTGCTACAAATATTTATAATTCTTTTTTTAAAGCTGTGCAATTACATTTTTATTTGAGTATTTTGTACAAAAAAAAATCCTACAGGCTCACTCTCTATGAATGTTTATATACCAAAAAAATAACTATGTTTAATGGTTCCAATAGTGCAGGTGATCACAACAGAGAGAAAGTTTGGTGCACTGATCAGATCGTCTGAAACTGTTACATTCTGAAGTCATCACTTTGCAGATATCTTGAGTATAAAGACAGAAAATGACGTTTGTTACATCCTGTCCTGACATGTATCGTGTTACCGCGCACCAGTTGCAAAGGGTTAACTGTGCGTCCACTTGTTTTTATACTGTTACACTTGTATGTTGTCATCTTACACTGTTCTGACAAGCTTTTAGAAATGAAACCAGATTGTATTACGGCATTATCTTTCTCATTATAAGATCAAATTTTACATTTCTTAATAGCCAAAGCTGTTTTTTTTAAGCTCCAGTAGTTTTTAAGATCTTATCTTAAACAACGTTACAGGTTCTTTGTATGTAATTGGACGTGCTTCATGTCTTTTAAATATCTGTTTTTTTCATCGTAATGTACAAGAATAACAGAATTTTGCAAAGATCAATGTAAAAAAACAGGTACATGAAAACAAACACCCTTTTGTAACTTATTAAAATATATCTGAAAAATTCCACCATGGTCTGTTTTTTTTAAGGGAAATTTGCCTTGAGTGGATTTCTTCATCCTGCAGCAGTGAATCAGGCTGTAACGTCTGCAACATAATCCTCGATGGATCAAAGAGCGTCCTCTTAAAGTTCTTGTTTCTGTCCCTGTTAGGCATGGGGTTCCACAGGGATCTGAACTGGGTCCATTGTTGTTTTGACTTTACTTGACACCACTGGGTACGATTTTGCTCTACTTTCCCCACTGGTCTTCTGAGTGTCCCAAAGGTCAAAAAGAAGAGAGTTGGTGAGCAGGCTTTTTCACACCCTGTATCGCCCCCACAACCACCGCCGCCCTAATTCATGCCAACCTGCTCCGACCTCCACCTCAGCGGCAAGGAAGTGTGGACAACAGGAATGCGATATTCAAAGGAGAAATCCTTCATGCATCTAAGATCCCCCTATCCAATGTTTCTTAACAATGAGTCAGGTCTTTAACCTCCTCTTTGTGGAGTATCTCGGGATAACACTTGTTGTGAATTGGCTCTATACAAATAAAGAATGATTGATTGATTGATACCATGCACCAACATTATGGAAAAGTGGACCTCTGGACATTAGGCAGGCCTGCCTCTGCTGAGCTATTTAAAGCAAAAATAATACCCACTTGTTTACTGTTGCTAATGAGTCATGGGTGGTTTGTACATTTCCCTAATGTTCTGTTTGAGTCTTAGTGAGGTTTTAGAGTTTAGAATGTTTTTTTAATGAGTCATGTACAGCACTTTGACTGAAAGTGCTTTATTTTTTTATCACATTACTTTTACCTTGAAGGGAAGAACCCTTCCGTTGCGCTCTTCCAAGTAACCAGACTCCATAGACAAAAACACTGAAAATAATTGCTTGTCTACTGCTGACTGAAGCATTTTTGTGTTATTTTGAGTTTCAGAAGTAGTGTGTTTCATCCAATCTAACCATTGGTACCATAGTCTCAATATAACACCAATTTAAAAGCTACTAGGACCAGATATTGTCATGTTCTTTGAGGTAAAATGATCGTGTTTGTCTATGTAGTCTGGTGTGTTTGTAGAGAGTGATGTGGTTAGAAAATCCTCTCCCTCTGTAACATAAAGGCCTATGTCTGTAGGATTCTTTCTGTAATCTCATCTTGTCAGGGACGAAAAACAACTTTTAGTGGCTGTACTTTGATCGGCTAATTATCCCCTGTTGTTTACATTAAAGCCATTAAAGCCTGTTTCATTGCTGCAAGCTAAAGCTAACTTCTGAAGCAGTTCCAAAACTTTTAGCTTTTGGTCATTTAGACCCCAAAAATATGTAAGAATTAGGCCTACAGTAAAGACTAGCACAGAAGTTAATCAACACATTGATTATTACAAGCATCATGATGTTCATTGTATGTAAAGAGATACATACAATGGTAGGTGTTGTAAAATATGTTTTAAGATTTGCACATTTGTTCTTTACAGGTAGTGGGATTATACCAGAGGCAGGATTAGATAGTGTGACCCTGAGCCTGGGGGTTAGGTGATGTAGAGCTCTACTAAAGGATAAGAGTGTTGGCAGTCTCCCAGAAGTGAGAAAGGAGATTAAAGCAATCTGCTTAACTATTCACAAGGTCTGGATTCTCGCTGTGTTTGCAACAACAAGACGTGTCGGAGGAATATGTGGTGTTACGCTTTATTTATTCAACATCAATACACACGCCGAGTGTTCTTCAGTAACTGTTCTTCTGGTAAGTGATATGACGTGCTGTAGTAGCCATGTATTGAAGTTCAAATGCTAAATGTATTGGCAGCTGTGAAATTCCACAGTAGTTTTAACAGGGCTGGATTCGAGTAACTTCTTTACATGCTCAAAGTCTGTGGTATTTTTAAGTTGTGATGTTAGCCATGATAGTTTTGAGAACATGTGGGAAGACTGTGTAAAAGTCAGATTGTTGTTCAGACCACATGAAGTGTGTTGAGCTCAGTAAGCTCGTTACAGGGCTAATGACAGCCTTCTCAAAGAACACGTACTGGATGAATGAACAGACACCTTTTCAATGACGCCACACTAAAGTTCAAGAGTTTATTCACAAAATGTTGTTTCCTAAATGCCAAGTATCTTGAGTCTTTCCTGAATTGTTGTTAAATACGATACAGCTTTATTAAGCTCATGAGATCATTGTGGACCGTCTGGTTTTAGGTTTGTCGGTTGGTGCCAGCCCCTGCGGGGGTGAAGAGGAGGAGTCATGGGGGCAGGAAGACAGGTCAAACTCCTGTTGTGGAAGAACTGGACTGTACGCAGGAGGCAGAGGGTAAAATTGTCTCGTCCATCAACAGCATGCTATATTTGCTAAATATTAGCTAAAATGCTTTAGGTGTCATTCTATGCAGATGATACCAACCTTTTCTTGCATAAATGCTAAATGCTTAAGATGTTCTTTTCAGATGATAATACCCGCTTATCAGCTCAAACGCTAGATGCATTCATGTGTCTTTCTTTGTGGGGGATAGTCACTAATGTGCTTACATGCTAAATGCTTTAGATATCATTCTCTGCTGATGATACCCATGTATTAGCTCGTATGCTCTAGGTGTCATTCTATGCAGATGATATCACTTATTTGCTTTAATGCTAAAGGCCTAAAGGTTTCATTCTTTCCAGATGACACATGCTTTTTGCTTTTTGCTTAAATGCTAAATACTTTAAGACAATACCAACCAGTTTGCATAAATGCTTACGGTGTTGTTCTTTGCAGATGACACACTTATTTGCTTAGAGGCTAAAAACGTATCAGTTTTATTCTTTGGCTAAATGTTTTCGGTGTCTTTCTATGCAGATGATATAAGCCTTTAAACTTAAATGCTTACTGCTTTAGGTTTCATTCTATGCAGATGATACCACTTGTTTGCTAAAATGCGTTACACTTCTGGGTGTCATTTTTTGCAGCCGATGCCCACCTTTTGCTTTTATGTTCAATGCTTTTAGGGGTCATACTAAACAGCTGATACCAACCTGGTTTTTCCTTATTGCTTAATTTTTTTGATGTCATTGTATGCAGATGATACAAGAAGAACAAGAAGCATCTCTGCTTAAATGCTTAATACCTTTAGGGGTCATTCTTTTCAGATGAACATTTAGTTCAAACCCATGCTGACAAACAAAAAAAGTAACCTCCATGGCGGAGGTGATAGTAAATAGATTTGAAAGGTTTTGGTTGTGATCTTTAACCAGATACGTTTCTTCATGGAGCTCATGTGGCCTGTGGTGCTCTTCATGGGACTAGTGTGGCTGAGAAGAGTAAATCCGCTTTACCGTCAGCATGAATGTAAGAAAACGACTTCACTGTTCATGAAAATATCACAAAAATGTATGTCCTCAGAGAGGTGTCCTTCATAAATCTTGATCATTTCACCTAAGGTCACTTCCCCAACAAGGCCATGCCCTCTGCAGGGATCCTGCCGTGGATCCAGGGAATCTTCTGCAACGCCAATAATCCTTGTTTTCAGTACCCCACACGGGGCGAATCTCCAGGCGTGGTGTCCAACTACAACAACTCAATGTAAGCATCAGCTGAGGAGATGGTAGAGGTCATTAAAAACCTGCTAAAAGAGCAGAATGATGTGACAGAGTTAAAGAGTATGTGTGTTAATGGCTCACCGGATCATTTTGTACATGTGTGGATAACACATACAATCATATGTGATTATATAAGATGTTAATTTACATGATTTGGGTTTTATATTTGTTCTCAGATTGGCTCAGTTCTACTCTGATGCTCAGGAGCTTCTGTTTAGTGACCCAAACTTTCTGCAGCTTGGTCAACACTGGAATGAACTGAACGCCATGAGTGACTTCATGAACTCCCTACGCACACATCCTGAACGTTTCTCAGGTAAGTGCTCCAGAATGTCAACAAG